ATTGGATCACCCTGCCTCTGTTTGGATTTGGACAGTCACGCGCCGCTCTGTTTCCTCTTTAAAATTTCACTTCTCTAAAAGTTTTGGGGCTGGAAGTTTTCACTCTGTCTGAAAGCGTTCCTTATTTTCTCCACCTGGACCTCCAGCTGAAGGTAATGTAACCAGCTTGAAAGCTTTTCCTCGTTAACAGGAGCTGTAGTTAGCTCAGCTCCGCTTCATTTCTCCAAACTCTCAGCTCAGAGCTTCACTGGAAACTCAGGACGAAGGAGGCGGAGACGAGCCGCTGCTCTCCTGCTGTCTGAGCCACTAAATGCTGCTGGAGAACAGCTGTTGGTGTCGGTGAGTGCTGTCAGGAGATTTACCTGCAGGACGAAGCTTCTTCACAAAGACAGTCAGCCGGTTCTTCATTCATCTATATTCAGTATCTTATTATTCAGATATGTGAGATTGTCTGTCTGTAGATAAATGTCACATGTCTGCATGATCAGCTGACCTGCTGTGGTCTGACCAAAAGACATTAGCTCAGCAGTTCATTAGAAGAGAACCAGCTGAACACTGTCTCTATCTGAAGCTGTAAATAACGCCTGTGATCAGAGTCCTTTACAGGAAACTTTGGAGGTCATTATAAGGAATTTTAAGATATTAATGTTTTATAAATGATAAAGTTGTCAAAGACGGGAAACGTAAAGATGTAAAGTTATTATTTTGGAGTGTTAATCCCTGTTGGTGTAAAATAATCAGCTGTAGCTTGTTGCAACAAGTCATTTTCTACAGGGACTCTGTAGACAGAGAGATTCTGTCAGACCACATCAGTCCTTCAGTGAATGTATCCGGTCCTCCATGCAGGTGTGTGTGCTGGGCTGCAGCTTCATGCCTCCATCTAGTGGACTGATAGTAGAAGTCCAGCAGCTGATGGCAGCTTCCTCTGCCTCACGCTGCTGTCTGACTGCATTCAGCTGCCACTGATATGAAACAGAAACTAGCAGCCAATCAGTGGAGGAGCAGCTGATCTTTTTCCAGGAGAAATGATGGAAAGGAGGATTTGAGTTGATGTGCAGATGAATGATTTGTGTTTCCTCTCCAGGTGAAAGTGGATGTGAGTTGAGCAGCATGAGTCAGTGTGAGGACAGAGAGGAGGGAGTCCCTCCCTCTAAAAGCACTCTGTGTGGGGAACATGACAGCCAGACCAAAGCTCAGAGGTGAGATGAGGATCTCTAACTGTCCAGGACTCAAATCACTCCACCATCATTATTCACTCTCAAAGCTCTGTGTGTGTTGTGTTGAAGCTAATGGACCTGGACCTGGACCTGGACCTGAGCCCAGCTGTGTGTCCTTCAAGAGTGACCACTCAAAGGATTTTTATATTAATCTTAAGCGACGACCTGTGTCTGACAGACAGTGAGTATGTGTCAGTATTAAACAGCGTTGGCCAATCAGAGCTAAATGTTCATGTCTCCCTCCTCATGTTGCTCCCTGCTGATGTTTGTCCTCATTAAATCCAGTCTGACCAGTTGTCCTTCTAATGTCCATGTTCTCCTAGAATGATGATGAAGGTCAGAGCCAGATTAGGATTAAAGGACAGGTCCACATGTTTTCCAGTCTGTCCCTAAACAACAACAACAACTTTAGTCTGAAACTTCCTCTTTGGATTTTGTCCTAAAATGCTTCACCTACCAAAGTCTGTAAATAGCAGTCAGGATATTTGTGGTGAGTCTAGTAATGCAAACGTTAGAATACAGGCCAACAGAGCTGCTGCTGATGGAGCCACAGTTAAGTTTGGTATCTGTCAGGAACAGTAAGATCTGCTCAGAGATCAGAACATTTAGTCCTGGTTTGGTCCAATATTTGCTGGAAATGAAACGATGATACACAGACTGACATCATTCAGCTTCAGCTTTTAGTGAACTTTGATCCTTTTCTTGTTGAGAGCTGCCAGTTTCTCCAGAAGCTTCTGTGGCTGAAGGCTAAAAATGACATTTCCATCCCTGGCGGTCTTCCTCTCTGTCTAACAAGATCTATGGGAGACCAGCCTCTGCTGGACCTGGACCTGAGCCCAGCTGTGTGTCCTTCAAGAGTGACCAGTCAGTGGGTCACCCCATGAATTTCAAAGGAGACCGGCCGTCTGCTGCAGAGAGGTCAGCTGTCATATTAAAACCAGACTGATTATCATGTTTAACTGTTTTCCAGAGAAGTTTTAATAAACCTGTGCTTTTATTTTCAGCATCATTCTTCTTCACAGACATATACATTCTCACAACCAGTAGAAGCAGTAGAAGCAGTAGAAACAGTAGAAGCAGTAGAACCAGTAGAGCAGTCTTCAGCTCTTGGCTTCAGTTGAACATTTTCTCCACACACACGTTCTGACTGTTGAGCAGCTCCAAAGCGACTGCCTTTACCTTGTGTCTGTCTCTGTGTGGACAGACATAATGTGAGCTAACTCTTCATGATTCCTCCACAGAGTCCACCAGGAGAGCTCAGAGGTTCCCAGTGGTCAGTCTGCCCAGCAGCATCAAACACACCTGGACTCCATATTTATGGTCTGTACATGTACAACAACTACTTTTCCATCTATTCTGTTCACAATAATCTCCACGCTGCACTTTTTAGACCAGTGGATTGTCAGTCTGTCCAACATGGATCTGATGTTTGGTTCCATGATTTGACTTTGATTGTGTCCTTCATATAATATTCTGTTCCAGCTGCTGGAGGAGAACATTGTCACTTTTGTGAAGAACGAGCTGAAGAAGATCCAGAAGGGTCTGAGTTCAGATTACCCAGAATGCTTAGAGAGTCAGAGGGAGGATGAGGAGGTGTTGGACGGTGAGGAGGAAGAGCAGAGGAGGAGCAGCAGAGAGGCATTTCTGAAGATCACACTGCACTTCCTGAGGAGAATGAAGCAGGAGGAGCTGGCTGAGCGTCTGCAGAGCAGTAAGAGGATTTCTCTAAAGATTTAAGCTGCTGGATAAACGGGACATTTACTGATGGCTCAGCAGATGGAGGGAAACATGTTTATATAAGGAAATGAAACTGTCACATGGACTTTATCAATCACTGATTGATCTGTTTTGTTGTGTCTTCATTCAGGAAGTCATTCTGCAGTCTGTCAGCGTAAACTTAAATCTAAGCTGAAGGAGAAGTTCCAGTGTGTGTTTGAGGGGATTGCTAAAGCAGGAAACCCAACCCTTCTGAACCAGATCTACACAGAGCTCTACATCACAGAGGGAGGGACTGCAGAGGTCAATGATGAACATGAGGTCAGACAGATTGAAACAGCATCCAGGAAACCAGACAGACCAGAAACAACCATCAGACAAGAAGACATCTTTAAAGGCTCACCTGGAAGAGATGAACCAATCAGAACAGTGATGACAAAGGGAGTGGCTGGCATTGGGAAAACAGTCTTAACACAGAAGTTCACTCTGGACTGGGCTGAAGACAAAGCCAACCAGGACATACAGTTCACATTTCCATTCACTTTCAGAGAGCTGAATGTGCTGAAAGAGAAAAAGTACAGCTTGGTGGAACTTGTTCATCACTTCTTTCCTGAAACCAAAGAAGCAGGAATCTGCAGCTTTGAAGAGTTCCAGGTTGTCTTCATCTTTGACGGTCTGGATGAGTGTCGACTTCCTCTGGACTTCCACAACAGTGAGGTCCTGACTGATGTCACAGAGTCCACCTCAGTGGATGTGCTGCTGACAAACCTCATCAGGGGGAACCTGCTTCCCTCCGCTCGCCTCTGGATAACCACACGACCTGCAGCAGCCAATCAGATCCCTCCTGGGTGTGTTGACATGGTGACAGAGGTCAGAGGGTTCACTGACCCACAGAAGGAGGAGTACTTCAGGAAGAGGTTCACAGAGAAGAAGCAGGCCAGCAGAATCATCTCCCACATCAAGACATCACGAAGCCTCCACATCATGTGCCACATCCCAGTCTTCTGCTGGATCACTGCTACAGTTCTGGAGGAGGTGTTGAAGACCAGAGAGGGAGGAGAGCTGCCCAAGACCCTGACTGAGATGTACATCCTCTTCCTGGTGGTTTAGTCCAAACTGAAGAACGTAAAGTATGATGGAGGATCTGAGACAGATCCACACTGGACTCCAGAGAGCAGGAAGATGATTTAGTCTCTGGGAAAACTGGCTTTTGAGCAGCTGCAGAAAGGCAACCTGATCTTCTATGAATCAGACCTGACAGAGTGTGGCATCGATATCAGAGCAGCCTCAGTGTACTCAGGAGTGTTCACACAGATCTTTAAAGAGGAGAGAGGGCTGTACCAGGACAAGGTGTTCTGCTTCGTCCATCTGAGCGTTCAGGAGTTTCTGGCTGCTCTTCATGTCCATCTGACCTTCATCAACTCTGGTGTTAATCTGTTGGTAGAAGAACAATCAACCTCCCGGTGGTCTAAACTGTTTGGAAACAAATCAAAACATCTCTACCAGAGTTCTGTAGACAAGGCCTTACAGAGTCCAAATGGACACCTGGACTTGTTCCTCCGGTTCCTCCTGGGACTTTCACTGCAGACCAATCAGACTCTCCTACGAGGCCTGCTGACACAGACAGGAAGTGGCTCAGAAACCAATCAGTTGATGGTCGAGTACATCAAGAAGAAGATCGAAGAGACTCTCTCTGTGGAGAAAAGCATCAATCTGTTTCACTGTCTGAATGAACTGAAGGATCGTTCTCTAGTGGATCAGATCCAACAGTCCCTGAGTTCAGGAAGTCTCTCCACAGATAAACTCTCTCCTGCTCAGTGGTCAGCTCTGATCTTCATCTTACTGTCATCAGAAAAAGATCTGGACGTGTTTGACCTGAAGAAATACTCTGCTTCAGAGGAGGCTCTTCTGAGGCTGCTGCCAGTGGTCAAAGCCTCCAAGAAAGCTCTGTAAGTGGGATTTATTCATCAATAAATATTCTGCTATCTTTCAACTGGAGAAAAAAATAAATGTGTTATTACTTGTTTCCTTCCTGTTGTCTCTCCAGACTGAGTGGCTGTAACCTCTCAGATCGAAGCTGTGAAGCTCTGTCCTCAGTTCTCAGCTCCCAGTCCTCTAGTCTGAGAGAGCTGGACCTGAGTAACAACAACCTGCAGGATTCAGGAGTGAAACTGCTGTCTGCTGGACTGGAGATTCCACACTGTACACTGGTAACCCTGAGGTCAGGATTCATTAACCCACTGAGTTGATGACCATCTAAAATCTGATTTACATTTGTGAATAAACAGCTAACCTCTGTAGGATTGTTTCTACTGAAACGATTTGTAAAGGACCTTTAACTAAACTTCGACAGTAGTTTCTAGACTGAGAAAATTCCCATGACTATTCTTTAAATAATTTTCTGTTGTTCATTCTTTTGTTTTTGAATTATTACATGCCACTCATGATCTTAAAGATGTCTTCTACATTTGTATCTGGCACAAAAAAAACATCCCGCCTCTCAGATGGTTTCTGTGTGTGTTTGTGTGTTTGCAGGCTGTCAGGCTGTCTGATAACAGAGGAAGGCTTGTACTTCTAACCCCTCCCATCTGAGAGAGCTGGACCTGAGCTACAATCATCCAGGAGACTCAGGAGTGAAGCTGCTGTCTGCTGGACTGGAGGATCCACACCGGAGACTGGACACTCTCAGGTATGAAGAGGCCTGTTGCAGCCACTGACAGTCTGATAGAGGAGGTGTTTTTTTTAATGGTGGGCATGAGTGTTATATGAACAATCACACGTGTAAGAGCCTTTTTCCTTTGCTCAGAACAGAAACACTGCCAGTTGAACATAAAAAGGAGATCTTTGGGTAGGAGGACTCCAAGGAGAACAACTCCAGGAACAAAAAAATAATAATAAATGCCTGTTGGTGTTAATTGATGCAGTTTGGACAGATCGCTGCATGTTAAAGGAACTGTCTGTTAGTCTGAGAAATATCCTTGTTTGCCCTCTTACCCGGGATCGAACCAGTTGCATCTCTGTACAGACATAGGTCCAGGACATGTTTAGCCTAGCTTAGCAGAAAAAATGGAAGCAGGTGGAAACTGCTAGCCTAGCTCCATCAAAAGAGAAAAAATAAACCTTCCAATAACTTCAAAGAAGTTATATTTAGTTAAAACTCTGCTGAAACCTGACGACTACAGGACAGGACTTTGAGATGCTACATTCAAGTGTATTTCTCCAAATGCTGACTGAATGAATATTACTTTGTGTAGAACATTTGTAGAGAACATAGTCTTCACAGCAAACATGGGTTGTAAATATATGAAATGTGCCGAAACTAAGTGGCTCTTCTAGTTCTTGGGAACTTCAGGGACTTTACTCAGATATTTGGTTATTTATTTACAATATTTACTATAGGCGACTATCTAAAAACAAAAATGTGAAGACAGAGAGGCTGAATAGAGAAAACCTTTTATGTCAGACGCACTGACTGTCCAAAGAATCCAATATCCCATTGCTGCGTGTGATTGTTTATTGCAGGTAGACAGGTGATCACTTTCATACAGTATCCCATTAGATCCACAGTTTCACTTGTATACCAGCGTCTAACAGCAAAACAAGTCCATAAAATACAACAATGATTGTTTATTGCTAATTTGGCCCAATGTAGACATTTTCACTTAGGGGTGTCCTCACTTTTGTTGCCAGCAGTTTAGATATTAATGGCTGTGTGATGTGTTATTTTGAGGGGACAGCAAATTTACACTGTTATACAAGCTGCACGCTCATTACTTTACACTGTTCTACAAGCTGAACGCTCACTACTTTACACTGTTATACAAGCTGCACGCTCACTACTTTACACTGTTATACAAGCTGCACGCTCACTACTTTACGTTGTTCTACAAGCTGCACGCTCACTACTTTACGCTGTTCTACAAGCTGCACGCTCACTACTTTACACTGTTATACAAGCTGCACGCTCACTACTTTACGCTGTTCTACAAGCTGCACGCTCACTACTTTACGCTGTTATTCAAGCTGTACGCTCACTACTTTACGCTGTTATACAAGCTGCACGCTCACTACTTTACGCTGTTATACAAGCTGCACGCTCACTACTTTACGCTGTTCTACAAGCTGCACGCTCACTACTTTACGCTGTTCTACAAGCTGCACGCTCACTACTTTACGCTGTTCTACAAGCTGCACGCTCACTACTTTACGCTGTTCTACAAGCTGCACGCTCACTACTTTATGCTGTTCTACAAGCTGCACGCTCACTACTTTACGCTGTTATACAAGCTGTACGCTCACTACTTTACTTTACACTGTTATATAAGCTGCATGCTCACTACTTTACACTGTTATACAAGCTGAACGCTCACTACTTTACACTGTTATACAAGCTGTAAACTCACTACTTTACACTGTTATACAAGCTGTACGCTCACTACTTTACATTGTAGCAAAGTGTCATTTCTTCAGTGTTGTCACATGAAAAGGTATAAACAAATATTTACAAAAATGTGAGGGGTGGACTCAGTTTTGTGAGATACTGTATATATCTATATAAATGACCTTAGGAATTGTTTTATTTAATTTTTTGTATGTTGCCTTATTTACAGTAGCCTATTTTTAAGCTCGGTGTGTAGGCTAGCACTACTTTACACTGTTATACAAGCTGCACGCTCACTACTTTACACTGTTATACAAGCTGCACGCTCACTACTTTACACTGTTATACAAGCTGCACGCTCACTGTACTGTTTGTTTGGATGGAATGATCAGTCCTGGAGTGTGAGCTGCTCTGATGGTGATTACTCTGTCTGGTACAATAAGAGAAGAACACCCATCTTCTCCTCCTCCTCCTCCTCCTTCTCCTCTGGTAGAGTAGCAGTGTATGTGGACTGTCCTGCTGGCTCTCTGTCCTTCTACAGAGTCTCCTCTGACACACTGATCCACCTCCACACCTTCAACACCATATTCACTGAACCTCTTTATCCTGGATTTGTGCTCTGGTCAAGTTCTGGTTCCTCAGTGTGTCTGAGTTCTGTGTAGGAGGGAGAATCTCCTCCTGGTAGAGAACAGATCAGTTGAGTCTGTACAGGATCACAGAAATCTTTCAGCTTCTTGTAATAAATTCATCAATGAACTTTTTACAAAGCGATTCAAAGTGATTGAACAGATTCCTCATTTCCATGTAAACTTCTTCCACTTCCAGTCCTTTAAAGATGGAAGCTCTGATCATTAAATGGTGGAAATGCCGTTGACTTGGACCTTCTGTCATGTGTTGCTTTGAATTCTGGCTCTTGTTCCAATAAAAGCAGAATGTTACTGTGAGTGTGTTTGTTGTCTTTCTCAGCTCAGGACTACTGACACCATTCAGCTGGAAGAAGTTTGTAAGGTGGTATTAGAATGTTGAAGACGTTTATATGGTTTTTAAGGTGGTATTAGTATGTTGAAGACGTTTATATGGTTTTTAAGGTGGTATGACATTTTTGTAGGCACTTCTGTCCTGTGACTTCTTAAGGTGGTTCAAAGTTTAAAACTGGTTTTAACATTTCGTTAAGAGATGAAGGTGGTATTAGTATATTTGATATGGTTTTTAAGGTGGTATTAGTATGTTTGATATGTTTTAATAGATATACTAGATATGATCAATCTATCTTTATCAACAGGCTATGTACCACAGTACTTTAAAGTAGCTGTAATTAAACCTCTTCTGAAAAAGGTCTGGGTCCCGGCCTCCCTGGTTCCATGAACTTCTTTAATGATAAAATTCTAGCTATTAGAGACAAAATTCACCAAGATCTGCCCTCAATTGGCACCGACTTATCTCTTAACTCAGGAACCTTAGAAACAGCTGTAGAACCAGATACATGTTTAGACTGTTTTGCTTCCCTCAATCTTTACCAACTAACTTCAATAATTTCTTCATCTAAACCATCAACCTGCCTCTTAGACCCCATCCCGACTAGGCTGCTTAAAGATGTTTTACCCTTAGTCAGCACCTCTATACTAGATATGATCAATCTATCTTTATCAACAGGCTATGTACCACAGTACTTTAAAGTAGCTGTAATTAAACCTCTTCTGAAAAAGCCCAAACTTGATCCGGATGTTTTAGCCAACTATAGACCTATATCTAACCTTCCATTTCTCTAAGGTTCTGGAGAAAGCAGTTGCTAAACAGCTGTGTGACTTTCTACAGAGCAATAGTTTATTTGAGGATTTTCAGTCAGGATTTAGAGCTCATCATAGCACAGAGACAGCACTGGTGAAAATTACTAACGACCTCCTTATTGCATCAGACAAAGGACTTGTCTCTGTACTGGTTTTATTAGATCTTAGTGCTGCATTTGATACCATTGACCATCAGATCCTATTGCAGAGACTGGAATATTTCATTGGCATTAAAGGAACCGCTCTAAGCTGGTTTAAGTCCTATTTATCAGATCGATTTCAGTTTGTACATGTTAACGATGAGTCCTCCATGCACGCCAAAGTTACTCATGGAGTTCCTCAAGGATCTGTCCTTGGACCAATCCTCTTCACTTTATATATGCTTCCTTTAGGCAATATTATCAGGAAACATTCCATAAGCTTTCATTGTTATGCAGATGATACTCAGTTATATCTATCGATCAAGCCAGATGAAACTCATCAGTTAGCTAAACTTCAAATGTGCCTTCAGGATGTTAAAACCTGGATGACCTGTAATTTTCTCATGTTAAACTCAGATAAAACTGAAGTTATTGCTCTGGGGCCTAAGCACCTCCGTGACGCATTATCTAAAGATATAGTTTCCCTGGATGGCATCGCCTTGGCCTCCAGCACCACTGTGAGGAATCTTGGAGCTATCTTTGATCAGGACATGTCGTTTAAGTCTCACATTAAGCAAATTTCAAGGACCGCCTTTTTTCACCTACGTAATATTGCGAAAATCAGGAACATCCTGTCTAAAAATGATGCAGAAAAACTAGTCCATGCATTTGTTACTTCTAGGCTGGATTACTGCAATTCCTTATTATCAGGCTGCTCGAAAAAGTCCATTAAGACTCTTCAGCTGATCCAGAAAGCTGCAGCACGTGTTCTGACAGGAACCAGGAAAAGAGATCACATTTCTCCTGTTTTAGCTTCTTTGCATTGGCTTCCAGTAAAATCCAGAATAGAATTTAAAATCATTCTTCTTACCTACAAAGCTCTTAATGGTCAGGCACCATCTTATCTTAAAGAGCTCATAGTACCTTACTACCCCACCAGAGCACTGCGCTCCCAGAATGCAGGGTTACTTGTGGTTCCTAGAGTCTCCAAAAGTAGACTAGGAGCCAGAGCGTTCAGCTATCAAGCTCCTCTCCTGTGGAACCAGGTTCCAGTTTGGGTTCAGGAGGCAGACACCATCTCCACATTTAAGAGTAGGCTTAAGACTTTCCTCTTTGATAAAGCTTATAGTTAGGGCTGGCTCAGGTGAGTCCTGAACCATCCCTTAGTTATGCTGCTATAGGCCTAGACTGCCGGGGTATTTCCCATGATGCACTGAGCTCCTCTCTCCTCTACTTTCTCTCCCTCTGTATGCAACCTTATCCCATTATTGCATGTTACTAACACAACATCTCCCCTTTCTGGTAGTCTTGTGCTTTCTCGTCCCTCTCCTCTCTCCTCCTATCACTTCCTGCAGGTTTTCTGGCTCTGGAGCTGTGGAGTCTGGATCTGTGGCTGCGGGTCTCCTGCTGCCCCCGTGTTCCTGCTCGACACCCTCTGCTGCAACGACTATTGTTACTAGTCTTATTGTTATTATTGTTATTATAATCATTAACATTACGACTGTTACCATTAACACTATTATAAATATCTGTACCATTTTTCATTTAGTCTATAGCAACATCACCTTTACTGTCTGTACCTCTGTGTGTATATTGTGTAGGCTGCCTCCCTCCTCTCTCTCTCTCTCTCTCTCTCACCCCCTCACCCCAACCGGTGGAGGCAGATGGCCGCCCACCCTGAGCCATGGTTCTGCTTGAGGTTTCTGCCTCTTAAAGGAAGTTTTTCCTTGCCTCTGTCGCCTAGTGCTTGCTCTTGGTGGGAACTGTTGGGCTTCTGTAAATAACATCACAGAGTACGGTCTAGACCTGCTCTTTTATGAAAAGCGCTGTGAGATAACTGTTGTTGTGATTTGGCGCTATATAAATAAAATTGAATTGAATTGAATTGAATTCATTTTCTATGTGTTGCAGGTCCCAGGCATGCGACCATACGAACAATTAATCTGATCAAAACGTTATGCTGTTGCTGCAGTGACTCCTCGCAGCAGAACACTTCTTCACATCCCCACAGCTTTAGCAAGACAAACAGTTAACAACAACAACAACATGACAACATCCCCAAGTTCCTCATGCTGCTGCACAAGATCAGCTTTTAACAGGTTAACGTGCAAAATAACTAGAATGCCACATATTTAGGTGAACTCAGCATATCAGTTACCAACCCAATCAACAGCACGACTCCGGCCACAGGAGCTCTCGGGTCCTCAGCACAAACAAGCCAGGAGCAGATGCACACAGAGCAACCAAACTGTCAGCCCGCCATGACAGAAGAACACAAAGACGGCGCTAGCCTGCGGACCAGAGGCACAACAACTAATAAAACAGGACTTCTAAAACTTACTAGAGCAACTTACAGCTCATCTAAAATGCATGAAAACATTCTTCCATCACTTATTATGTGTTTTCATCGTGCTTATACATGACACTAACCGGATAAAAGGTGGAACGAGTAGACAGGACAACGTTAGGCTGTTGCTGCAGTGACTCCTCGGGCCAACAAGAGCGTAAAGCAGCTCCGTCAGCTGCCGACGTCCTGCTGCCGCCTACTGACGTTCCTGGGTATTGCACCCAAAATAACAAGTCCACAAAGACTGAATAAGAGAAGCTTTTTAAAACTGACAAGAAAACATCAGCAAGAGCTGGAATACACATGAAAAATGTGACCATATGTTTTATGTGCAACATTTGTGGACATCCTCAATAAACAGATGCACCAATCATGCTGACTGTGTTAAATCCGTGAATGGTTCGTTCTTTCATTATTTCGTTTCAAAACCGAATCACAAAAAACTGTTTTAAAACCAAAATGGAAAAATACTGATTTTGATATTTAATGAGTCTGATCTGTGTAGCTTTGTGTGTTACACTTGATAAACCTGCAGCAGATACACTTGGGCGATGGCGGTGCCTGATTAAATGTAATAAAGACGAGCTTGAACATCAACATAAGTGGGTTTTTAGTTAGAAAAACAGGACAATATTAAATAGCTGCAGTACCGGAGGCTGCAGCTATATAATATTGGCTCAACGTTCAGTTTGTAACTCACTAGCAACTGGAACAGGAACGCTTTCCTGAGGATCCTCTGGTTTTTAAGATTTCTTCAGTATAAAATTAACTCAAATTAACTGATAGTTGTCAGTACATCCATTGGTACACAGCAAACATGAACTGTTATTGGGTCATTCGGCAAGCTGGATATTAACAAATCATACAGGGATTAAAATGTTGGGTAATTTTTGTTCAGCCTCTCTGCGCTGTTTCCACCTGACCTTTATTTTCTTTGTGAGATGTTGAGGGTTTGAGGCTCTGTAATATACCGCTTCTACAATCATATTCGCCACAGTTGATATGAGATGCGACCTGAAAAAATAGCCTGATATAAAATTAAATGTAAAAATATTTAACCTAATTGATGGATGCTTTTACATTATAAATTTGACCGGCAGTCAATTCATGACTTATCCAACCGTCTAGAGTTGGATTACTCTACTTTCCAAAGCTCTTCCAGCCCCTTTGCAATTAATGATTGCTCTACACTTTTATGCTTTGGGGTCTTTCCAATCTGTAATAGACGAGGTGTCAAACGCCCTGACCCATCTGCCGAATACCGCTGTGAAGTTCCCGTCAAAACAAGAAGAGGATGAAATAGCAGCGCACTACTTTAATGTTAGCGACTTCCCACGAGTGTGCGGGGTGATAGAATTTGTCAACAGAAAAAACAGCATTCAATCAATGTCCTGTTAGTTTGTAATCATGAAAATAAAATAAACAACGTTGTATGTAGGCCTATGTATGTATAGCCTATATTATTATATGTATCACTTGTGTTGTCTTCCCGTCGACCATGCACTTTTTGTCCTCCCGAGTCAAAACTGACCCGGTCTGCTTTCTTTGTTTATAAAGCATAATGTATAAATTACCACCCAATTCTGTGTTACACCTTCTCAGCCAACTTCTTTCCAACTCATTTTTTTTTTTTTTTTTTTTTACTCATTTAGCAGACGCTTTTATCCGGCCGGATTTATATAGCGGCCGAGAAGGAACGTAAGTTTGTATTATGGATGGTGCAGACCCAGTAGTCACTCTGTATGCAAGCATTAGTGACTTGAATCTGATTCTGGAGGCCACGGGGAGCCAGTGGAGGTCACTGAGTAATGGAGTGACATGAGTCCTTTTGGGCTGATCAAAAACCAGACGTGCTGCTGCGTTCTGAACCATTTGTAAGGGTTTCACCGCACAAGCTGGGAGACCTGCTAGGAGGGCATTGCAATAGTTGAGGAGAGAGATAACCATGGCCTGTCCCAGAAGCTGGGTAGCGTACTGAGTGAGGTAGGGCCTGATTTTCCTTATGTTGTATAGAGCAAAGCGCCATGACCGAGAGACAGCAGCAACATGGTCTGAAAAGGACAGCTGGTCATCAATCATGACACCCAAGTTTCTCACCACCCTGGTTGGAGTGATGGTTGAGAAGTCAGTTTGTAGTTTGATGTTATGGTGGATAGATTGCTTGGCTGGAATGACCAAGAGTTCAGTCTTAGAGAGGTTTAGTTGAAGGTGGCTATATGTATGTTAGACAGTCCGTGATCCGTGCCAAAACAGTGGGATCGTCTGGCAGGAAGGATAGGTAGAGTTGCGTGTCGTCTGCGTAGCAGTGGTAAGAGAAGCAGTGCGAGCAAATGATTGGCCCCAATGAGGTGGTGTAAATTGAGAAGAGAAGGGGCCCAAGCACTGAGCCTTGGGGCCCCCCTGTGGAGAGGCAGTGGGAGGATAATTGTCCTTGCCACAAAACATTGTAGGAACGCCCCGAGAGGTAGGATTCGAACCACAGGAGTGCTTTCCTCGAGATGCCCGTTGCTGAGAGAGCAGATAGCAGGATCCTGTGGTTGACTGTGTCAAAGGCAGCTGATAGGTCAAGCAGGATAAGAACCGAGGATTGGGCTGCAGCTTTAGCTGACCTTAGGGTTTCTGTTACAGACAGAAGAGCTGTTTCAGTAGAGTGGGAACTCTTAAAACCAGACTGATATGGATCTAGGAGGTCATTCCCTGAGAGGAATTCTGAGACCTGTTTGAATACTGCCCGTTCAATAGTTTTGGATAAAAATGGTAGAAGAGACACTGGTCGATAGCTCTCAACTTGAGTTGGGTCAAGTGAGGGCTTTTTGAGCAAGGGTGTAACCCGAGCCCTTTTGAAAGTGGTCGGGAAGGTTCCTGAAGCCAGAGAAGTTTATCACATGAGTGATTGTCGGGACCACAGTAGAAGATATGGCTTGGAGGAGATTCGTAGGAGTCGGGTCCAGTGGGCATGTAGTTGGACGGCTACGGGTCAAGAGTTCTGATACTTCGCTCTCTGTGAGAGGAGTAAACGAGGAGAGTGAACCACCACTGATCTGGAAGGGCAGGGGAAAAGATGTAGTAGGACTGCTACAATGGTTGAGTGTTTCAGAGAATTGGCTAGTTATAGCCTCCACTTTGCCTGTGAAGAAGGCAGCAAAGGTATCATTACCACTAGTTTTACACTTTTTTTGGAAATCAGGGTCAAAAAATCTAATTTATATGAAAGTATGGCTGGGCATGCCATAAACTGGCCACAGATGCATGTAAGTTCATGGATGTTAGCATTTCTTCAAAAGCAGCTAAGTTGCCTTCTCTGTGTAGAACAACCTGACCCAAGCAGACCTACAATGCAATCCCAGGTAGGCCAGTAAATGGTCAGCCAGCACATCACAATGACAGGAACGCTATAAATATACATCTATGATCAGAGGAAAGAACAGCAGAAAACAGAAAAAGCTAAATAGGTGCATGACTTTGCTTTTAGTGCAGTTTGTGTTGTTGGTTTGTCCAAGCTACGCACATGTTAGCCTTATTTAAAGTAGTTTATTGATATAGTCAATATCAGTCAGGTACTGGTGCCAATAAATAGCAGTAACATATTACAGTAAATAATATTGAACAACACATTGTTGTGGTTGCTATTGATCCGATAATACACAATGGTTTATAAGGGTATTGATGAATTTGTACAATTTGGAAGCTGTGAATATAATATCTACTATCTACAGAGGTTGACACATTCAGCACTGCGAAACTGGTTCATCTTCACTCTCCAGCAAGGTTCTACCTCTGGTGCTGATGCTGCCACAGCAGCTGTACGTAACATACTTTCAATTTTGAACCAGTCATTGGGCAAGGACAGATAAGAGTCAAGGGCAGCGCCCAAGCATGGCTCAAGAAATGGCCTGGTCTAACATTCAAAATCAGGATTAGTAACCACTCTATTGTATTATTGTCATAGTAACCAGAAAAACACCATCTTATTTTGTACTAAGGATTTTCATTATTGAAACTATTTATTTAGCCATCAAATGTTTTGCAGGTCCTTCCCTGGATTTTTTAGGCGGGGGTCAAAGCGAAGTTCATTAAGCTTTAATAAGCCAGCAAAGGCAGCCAAACAGTGGAACCCGTTCAACTTTACACTTTTTCTTCTTCACAATAATTGTGACACAACCCCCTCAGCAGCTGAGGACCTACAGCACATGCAGGCTGGTCTGGGGAAACGGACTCTTTCCATGCCTAAAGACATGACTCATTCAGAGGTGATCTCTTTTTATTTCTCTGAAACACCATCTCATCAAGCAGCTGTCTAGCACACAAAAATACTTCAGAATACTTCTTTAAATTTTAGGTCTCCAGCTTGTTTAAAAACAAGCGGAAATGGAAGGTGGCGTTTATCTGTAGCGCCCCCCGAATCAGAGGGATATACGGGAAGTACGATCAGAAGTGCCTCTGGAGGGGAAAAACCGTGCTCTACATTGTTCCTCTGCAGGAAGAATTTGATCTAGCACCCCTTTCCTATGATGCCCAGGAGTTTTCACTCATGCCAAAGGCTGAATGCAAGATTTGCTGTAAAGTGATGTCCTTGCAGCTTCTTGCCCTCCATGTAAAACAATGTAACGCCCCAGAATGTGACACACTTTCAGACCCTGAGCTAAAAATACGTGTACTTGCTGCTTGCGAGTTACTTGTCAAGCGGATGACAAGTAACTTAATCAAAATGTAACTTCCTTGTCTATGTTTAGATATCCGAGGTGCTCTCTTCTGTGAAGAAAGGAAGTTGCTTCTCACATCTGGGCTCCAACTTTTGCTCATGCAGACTGTTTTCAGTTTTCTGTAATTCCTTTTCTGTCTTTTTGTTTTAGCCTCCAGAAGGAAAGTTCCCTATATACCTGAAGGAATATCCAACAGTTGAGCTGGAACTACATGCAAGTGTCTGAGGGGACTGGGAGAGGAACTTGGAAAGGTGTTGTTCAGTTTTACCCTGCAGGTGTGGATGAGGACACATCTAAGACATGCATGCTCACATGTTGCCTGCATGTTTACTTCAGCCAGTATATTGCTGTTAGAGGTAACTGTACTGTTGGATGTATCGTGCTATGGTGTGTTGCTGCAGGTGGATTAAGCAGACAGATTAATAATCTCATATTATGTTCTCTGTATTGATTCAATCACTTCCATATCCTAATTCAAATAGAATTTGGCTTCGTTTCAATGATATAGATTCTGATTCTGATATTGACACTACATTGTTTTTGCTGTAAATCTTTTTATTTTTCTGCAGCCCTGTGTCCTGTCTGAATGGCAGTCCTGTTGGCTTAAAGGAGCTACAAAACCAGGACATTTCATGGTATATTAGAGAAACATTTCTGCT